GAAAGTTCAACTTTATTATCAAAGCACAATGTTCCACGTTTGCTCTGTTCCCTACATAGCTCCCTACTTTCAGAAAACATTTTTTGCATGGCTTTCTTTTTCCTCTCTCTCCATAAAGGCAAATTTTTTTAGAAATCTGCTGAACCAATTTAGTAGTAACCATTCGTTTTCATTTATTATCTTTCTGATCTAAACAATTCCTTCATAATTCTTTTAGTTGTCGTACAATTTGGACAAAGATCTGCATTTAATTTTCTCTTTGCTCCTTTCTGCATTTTTCACACCTCCCATGAATGCCTGTAGAAATTTCCTCTGCTCTTTGTTTTTCCTTATCTTGCTTTTCTCTCTCTAAACAAGTTAGCCTTTAAGACATTGTCAGTGATTTCTATCACCTTCATATCGCCTGGACATGTTTGCAATGAAGGGAGCGTAGAATGGAAAGTTGGCAACAGATTGGTCTGTTTGGGAGAATTTAAGCAGAAAAGCAAAAAGGACCCATCAAATGTTATTCTGTGCAGAAACGGCCCTATAGGTTTGTTTTTTTTAACACTGTTACCAGGTTTTCTGCTTACTAATAAAAGTAAATCCTTTAACTACCAGAATGTTAAGTTCTACAGGCTCTGGGTTATGTTGTTTTCTAATGATCGTTCCTTTGAATATTGGTTATTAGAGTGTATTCAATTTAAAAAGTAAAGTTTGAATTTCAAGTTTTCAACCTTGAAAATCAGATAAAAAAAAGTTTGGTGATGTTTTTTTACTTTGAAAATAAGTGGACTCCAATCTATTCAAGTTCAGTATCCAATATGACCTGAAAGTTTAGCCCCTGTATGCATGCAAACTTACTCTCTTAGTGCTTGTAAATAAGAAAAAGTTTTTTCTTGGCTCCTATGCTTAATGGTAGTCATGGAAACTGCTTGGGTGTGACATCTTTTCTAGATCTGTGTTTTGATAAAAGCACTTTTATACTAACTTAGGAGGGTTTTAATAGACTGGTGTAATAAGCTCTTCATACCAAGTTTTGGAAGAAGAATCTAAAAAGTCTAATAAAGTGATGCATCTCACATTTACAGATAAAAGCTCATTTTTGTTGTTGGTTTTTGTTGAAGTCATCTTTTAGGACCACTAAACGTGGAGTCCTTTAAAGGGAGAAGTGAGTAATTATGCGTGTGTCATGAACTCAAAACCTCTGTGTAATTTTGGTTTGGTCCAACTTCTTTCTCAAAACATCAGACAAACAAAGTATAGGCTTAGAGAAAGCAAGGAGGCATTTTTTTGGCATTAGAGAAATACATTGACATAAGACTTGGTTAAAGAACAGAAACGATAACGGTAACACATTTACAGGATGTTATGAGCTTGTCTGATTCCTTTACTTTCTCCGTTATTTTTCTGTCAAGCCTATCTCTGTCCACATCTCCAGGTTTACAGTTTGGCTTCCAACCCTTCCTGGTTGTATTGTGCTTTTGCAGGGTTGCAGACATTTGTAATAGGAAGCCTGTGCCTCATTGTGTTTCTACATGTAGCCAGGTGTGCGTTCTTCATATAGAGGTAAATATCAATCTGTTGAAGGAGTTGAGGAGTCAGAAAGTCAGTGAAGCCTGCAAGTTGTTGGGGCTACAGTGTCTGCATCCATCCGTCTGTTACCAGGGGCACTTAAACGTGTGATTTCTGTTGTTGGGTTTTTGTTTTCCTTTTGTTTGGTTTGAGTTAGTGGCAGAATGTTCACTTTTTTGGTCTGTATTTAACTTTTTTTTTTTACTTGAGGAAAATTGGGTAGATACTCGATGATGGACTGTTTTTGAGAAACATCAAAATGGTGCAATGCTACATGATATGCTTACCTTTTATTTTTTAACTTGAATAAGAAAAGAATAATAATTTTAACTCATAATTTAATTTCATAGCAGTATATGCAAAATCTAATATGGTACAGAGAAGATTAGCATGAAAATAATTAAATTCGGAAGTTTTCTGCATAGAAACGCCTCAAAATCCTGAGGTACTGCTATGTTTTTATAAATGTTGAAGTTCTGGTCTAATGTATACAAAGCAGGCCTTTTGCATCCTGGAGAGTCTTTTGGGATGGCCCATTTGAAACAGAGACTGGCATTCGGGGGTCCCAAGAAAGACCCTCAGCCTCAGATTGCTCCCTGTACCTTAATGAGTGTGGCAGCACACTGCTATTGAAATGATGGTGTATTATATTCCCCCACTTTGGGACTTTAACCGAACCTTTCCTTTTCTATCCCTTTTCTTTTCCAATATAAACATATTTGTCACCCTAAAAAATATTCCAGACTCTGCCTTGATAGTGGCTCAGAATAGACCTCCTGCTGCTCCGTTTCATGAGGATTCAATTGATGTGGATTGGACATCTCATTAGGCTACTTCCTGGAGGTGTTCCCAACATGATCTAGGAGGAACAATCTAAAACTTGGTGGTTCTGTATATCTTTTTTTTTTAAACCTTGGAATGCATTAGGATCTACAAAGATGGGCTACAGGGTGTCAGGGAGTATTGGAGTTCTTGGTTTCCCTGTGGGACATGATCTCTGATGAGCTGGAGGTTATAAATGGACCAGAAGGTAACTAAATACATGGGTTACATTTAATGTAAAGTATTATGGGATATAGCCAGAAAACATCCAACTACTCAGAAGCCTGAACCACCTTAACCTGTTGCTTTCAATGCTTTGGAGCCAAGGCTTTACTCTAAGGTCGGGGAAATGTCCCAGAACTCTACATTAGAAGCTCATTTGTACCATTTCCCTCGGAAATCTCCTTTTTTGGGTACAAATGTTGTTTGAATCACGATAATAAACTGACTTTGTGCCTCTTTTAATCTTGTGGAAGAATTTGATAATATACTTTTTTAAAAAACTATAATTTTTTATGGATTTGATATGACTTGTTTGTAATTCCAACAATAAAACATAGATGAGTGAGTTCTCAGTTTGTCAGCAGTGGACAAAACATACAAGAAAACCATTTTTTTTGCCTTGAAAAATTTGAATATCTTCTTCTGCCGCTCTCTTCTGACATAATGTAATTTCTGCATAGACAGCTGTGGGCTGTTTGCGGGAGACGCATGCAGGAAACCACTGAAACTGCTATGGTCATACATGTCTGAATCAGATTGCAAATTTCAGTTTATATTAGTGATTCGCCACAGAGGCACCAAGGCGTACTACAAAAGTTTGTTTAGATCCTCCTCTTAAGACCCAATGTTTATATCTGTCAGATTAGTAGAGTAATATCTATAAGATTATTTGCAAACCCTGCGCAAAAAATCCTGCAAAGCTAGAGAGGAGCTGCATGGGTAGGGTTCTTAAAGCTGTGGACTCTTGAGGATACAGACTTGCAGTAAACTATGTTTCCCAAAACTGTTTACTTTTCCGTTAACCTATTCATCCTATTAGAGGTTTAGTTTGTTCACCTAGCATCGTTTCCTGCATGTGAAACAGGCAGCGTCTTCCCTCATTTAGGCCCTCTGACAGATTGATCATACTCAGAAGGGTTTGTATATGTTATTTCCCTTGATAGTATTTCCTTTGCCTACATTATTTACAGTTCATTTTGACAACTGTACTTTGTGTTTACTTATTCAGCACTTTCTGACCTCAGCTGTGTATGAAACATGTACTCCAGGATCTCTCAAGTCTTTGTCCTAGAGTTTGCTGTCTTATAAACTTTAAGTCTCGTGTGTGTTGAGGGAGCACAGCAGGCCTTTTGCAGGCGCCTGTTTGTTTACACAGCTCTTTCTGCAGTTTTTTATTTGTTTAGAGCAGCGTGATAGAACGCAGGTCTCTGATAATGGAGTCAATTTCCCCTCCTCCTGCACCTCGTTTCTGTTCGTTCAACCCCTCAAATGTCCCCCTCTTCTTACGCCTTACAGCTGTTTTTGTTCTGCTTGATTTACTTTCCATCCAAAATGTTAGGTCAAATACAGACTTGTTCCCATTTTGCAAGCACACATAAGAACACATTGGTGTGTTTACATTTCTCGCTGAACTCCACGCGCACAACACCCCAGTCGGAAAGGAGGGCAAAGATAACAAAGAACTTTAAGAGAAGTGAGTTTGATCCACAGCTCTGTCTTCACCTCGACCCTTGGGTCAGTTTACAACTAGTCAAGCATCTAGGGTGAAAGGTCATCAGTGTGGTTTGTGGGAATGGTCTTATCAGTTTTGTAACAAAGGTTCATCTAATTTTGACAAAGTGTCTCTTAGCTAATGATGCTTAGCGGTCAAATTTCTTTTTAATGCCATTTGTGTAATTGTTTTTAAACAGAGCTTATTGGCTCTCTTTTAGGTGGGACATATGTAAAAAAATGTATTCATTCAAATGCAATTTTATAGTCTGTAAAAGTATAAAGTTTTGAGCTAGGCTTGTCACTAAAAGATTTTTCGGGATGACACATTGTACCAGAAATGATTGCGGTAAATGAAAATATTGTCATGCAGTTTGGATCCAATGGGCTCCTTCACTGCAGCTGTAACATTTAACTTTGAAACAGATTCCAGCTTTTTTTAAATTTTTCAAATCTAAACGAGCTTTCCTCTGGATTACTAATCCTCAATCATGAGGCGCTCATCTACATTCGCTATGCTAAGGAAACACTAAGGAAAGGGGTGTGTCTTGCAAACTCTTGCATACTGAAACGAGGGAGAGAAGATTCAAACATAAATGATTGAGGTCATTTAAATTGTTCATGAGATTGATTGATTCTTTGTTTACTGTAACAGGCCCTTTTTAAATTCTATTATTTTCTCCGGGTGTAAACGTGTATGAAAAAAGCAATAGAGTATGAACAATGATCTGTATTTGTAGACTTTGCGTTAATCGCAGCACCCTATTATCTATATGTCCGTTTATCTCTTTGTCCTTGCCTCTCATTATTCTTTGTTCATTTTCCACATTTTATTTAGACCTCTTAATGGCCCAAATTCATCAAACAGTAGCATGTTAACAATGTCTCTATGTCTTGTTTTTGTCTCCCAGGGACAGTACCGACCTGCTGACCTCCTCTGCCCAGAAACCTACATTTGGGTGTCAATAGAGCGATGCACACCTCTGCTGGATAGCTCCCGCTATGCTCGGTTAAATCAGGATCCAAATGCAGGTACAGCTACGGAAGACTTTGTTAAAGGTTTTTCCTCCCTTAAATAAAGGAATAAACTTTATCCTACATAACTCCTTTTATTGGCTGATTTTACCAAGCTTGAGACACATCTTCCCTCTTCTTATGTCATTCATCCCTAATTTTGTTAAAAATAAATCTGTTAATTGGTGCAACCATTGTGCATTTAAGAGATTGTTATGGGAAAAGGCAGAAGATTGTTGCTATGAATACTAAATGTGTAGAATAAGGCCTGTTTCCTCATCCTTTTTAATCCAAATCACAAAGCATGTGTGATGGGAAAGAGCCACCAATTGGCAGTGATAGGAAATTGGAGGAGACAAGAGGCTATTGGGATGGATTCACAGAGTTATTAAAATCCCTAAAAGAGAATATAAACAGAGTTATATTTGTAGTGAAGAAAAGTGACAGCATAATGCGGCTGGTGTTTGTTTACTGGCCCCAAAACACAATTTGTTCCCATTGAGATTGAGAAGAAAAAAATTAAAGGCTGCAAACATTTCAGACAGAAGCCTCTGAAATGTGGAGTGCTTTAAGACATTTTTAACCTCTTCTGATTTTTTTTTCTGTCCTTGCTTTTTATGGATCATGCTCATTTTTCAAATTCTGATTTCATTTTAATAACAGTAAAAGCTCACTAAAACAGCTTGTGCCTTCTAAAGCTCAGAACCAGTTGAACCAACCAAGTCAAACACTACGACCATCAATGATTTGTGATCAGCAGTGAATCTTTTAATACATGTGGATGAATATTTGCTTTACTCTTCTTTGCAGAATTGGTTTAATTCAGAAGGGTTGTAGGAGAAGAAAGTCTAGTTTTAAGGTCATACTGAAACATCTTACCGTAATTGAATTAATTCCAGCCTACATTTATATCACACTAAACCAGCCTTTGGACCATTGGACCCACTTTTTGAAAGGCTCCCCATCAGGGCTCGATGTTAATCATTGCCCGATCGCCCGAGGCAAGTAGTTTTTATTGTCGGGAGAGTACAAATTTCGCAAAAAAAAATGATCACTCAAAATTACTTTTAAATCACCGACATTCGCTTAAAAAAGGACCCACAAGCGTTGGCGGCGTCATTTTTGTTGTTTTGTACACATTCTCGCGTGATTTGAAAAAGCCGTGATATATTCCGCCAGATGGCGTGATTTTTCTCCGGGAATTGGCAAGAATCAGACAAATTTTTTTGGACTTGGCAGGCTAAAAAAACAACAAGGCAAAAAAATGTAAGTAGAGTAGCACACCCACCACCTATTTTACCCTCCACCCATTTCACCTACCACCCAGATAACCCTAGATTAAAAATTATTTGTCAGGGATTAGGAAAATTGGCCATGCCCACAGTGTAAATATGGCTATCATATGGCAGTCTTTTGTACAGTGATGCAGGTCATACATTAAAAAATCTTAGTTATAGAGCTAAACATGTTAAATTGGTGACCTGTTATGTTATTATTGTCTTGTTGCTGCATTTATTTTGTCAGGGAAAACTAATCCTGAGTCAGTTAAAAGTCAGGGAATTCTGAAATTATGTATGACTGTGGAAACCCTGTATAAAATAACTATGTATAATGATTCTCTAGAAATGTCACAATATATTAATAGTATCATCTTGTATAAACATACCGTGACTCTACAATAGAAGTTATTCATTTGTGACATTGACTTCTGTCTTGTGATTTACAGTAGCTTAAGTTTTTAACCTGTCAAGTTTTTTTTAGATTTTTAACATTACAATTTATATTTTTTCCAAGCACACAACAGTGTAAAGCAAAGTTTAGTTTGAAAAGATGTGCAGGAAGGATTGAAAAGCATGTTAACACAGTAATTTAGGCTTGAGTTCATTGTCTGACGCATGCATATACACACCAGGAACCTGTAAACTTAATAAAATACTGAATTACAAAAAAGCATTTAAAAAACAAACATGTTTATTGATATATATACAAAAATGAATATTAGGAACTATATTTATCAAACATTATACTGGGCAAGTAAAAATTGTTTCTGGGCAAATGAAATGTGAAAGTCGGGCAAGTGGTAAAAATCCTTAACATCAACCCCTGCCCATTGTTAATTGTTTCATCCATTTGCAGTGTAACCATTTCCAAACCGATAGATGTTAGTAACTTTGTTTCTCTTGTTGTGTTTCTTTAGATCAGGCTATAGTGTTGCCTCTTAAAATTCCTAAGGTTTTGATAATAATTTGCTTTAATCAGAAGTATATTTAATTTTTTTTGTCATAAAATGTGAAATTTTAAGTTCAAACTCTTTTTTTTTTTTTTTAATAAATAGAAATGGAATAGTGATTCCAGATTTTACTAAATTACTAAGTGATCTTCCACTGGTAGAAACCAGCTATTGGAGTTTTTGTTTCCTTAGACGGCCTTATGAGCAAATCAAATGTATTTGAAAGTAAGAAAAAAACGTCTTTGTTGTAAAAAATTCTTTTCAGGAATATCACCATTTGCTCAGTGTCGCATGAATAACGTTTGTATAAATCTAGAGCTGTATGCCTGCTGTCTTAATGAGGTGTTTAAAGATGGTTTACGTTTACATAACTTTCCTCTCACATTTATAGAACGGCTGCTGCCAACACATCAAGGGTCCCACAGTGTCTACCTGCGGACTGTGGTGAACGTCTTGAACCCTGTACACTGAAATAGAAACCATGTTTACAGCTAATATGCAGTATCTCTCACACACTCACAATCAGTGTTTGACAGGGAGGCTAGCTGGGCCATTGGCCGCCCAGCAACATAAACACTAGCGGAAATCTGTGACCCGTGTTGTCTCTTGTTTGGCTTCCAATGCATTCAGGCGGCGCCAGTCGGGATACACAGACGCTGAGCGGTGATTTGTGCATTTACATGCGCCAAAATGTTGCATTTTCATTCTGTTGGTGCCGTTAACATTTGTGGCTGTAAAAACAAATCAGGTACATACAGTGAATGGGCATTAATGTCAACCTGATTTAACCTTTTATCACTCCTAGGCCGCCTCACTTCTCCAAAATAAATCTGCCTTCTTATGCATTTCATATCTTGTCTATCAGTCAGACACTTTTTCCTGTACCTCACAATGCTTTCAGCTCCTTAGCCCGATGAGTGCTGATGCTCCCAGGTTGAGTGGGAGCTGATGTTTGATTCCCCTTGAATATTTTTCCCAAGCTTTAATGTACGTTATTTAAATTTCATGTGATGAATCTTCAGAAATGGACAAAAAAAATCTGAAAAGGATGTTCTGAAATAGCTTTCATTTCTTCTATATATTTCTAGAAAAAAACAAAAACAAACTTTCATCACAACAGCTGCAGGTCTGTAGGGGTATTTCTCAACCAACTTTGCATTTTAGTCCAGACCTAAATCAAAATCTTTTTAGTACAAGAATATGATCTAAAACCTTCTTTTATAACTTTTTATGTCTTTTGTTTAAGCTTAATTGTAGCATTTTTTTTATGTTAGCTTACATAAGGATGGTCCTGTATTTAGCTCCATGTATCTATCTGCTGCTGCTTCCACCATGTATCGCTTTGGGTTGCTTAGCAACTTAAAAAATGAAATGCAGCTGAAGGTGTGATTCCTGGTTCGGTTTCATGTGCATTATTTGTCTTCCACATGCCCATGATTTTTGCATTTTTACATAAAGTTCCAGCATAAGAAGGAGTGTTTTGTGCTTTTCTAACCATCTGTTGTCAGACAGCCTGATAGGAAAAATGTCCATAAGATTGATTAAAGTTTACAGACCCGGCCTGTATTTGAGTTCATAATATCAGACAGACTTCTCCAGATGAAAGCACCTGCTGACAGCAGCTGGACTTTACTTCTAGGATAAATATGAGGCCGTTATATGGAAATATCTCATGCAATGATTAACCCGGCTCACTTATGGTTTGGGATTTATTTTAAAAATAAAAAATTCTAGTCTCCTGATCCTGGCAGTCCAACAAGGATTTTAAATTGGGCTTCGACAGCTTTAATCACACACATGTTGACATTGCTTACATTTTTTTTTTTTCTTTTTCTGCAAGTTTTTTTATGTTCGATATAAAGTAGATAAATATGAATGTTTGCCACCCTTTTCAGATTTGTTTTTTTAATCTTTACTTTTGAAAAGGGGTCTTACTTTTTTTTTGCCCCAACTATTCTTCTCCACTGAAAGATTTCTCCCTTGCTTTTCATAACAATAATAATGAAAGCATCCTTTACAATTAAAATGAGTCTCTTCCCTGGAGGTCAACATTCTTGTTGGAAAACAGAGATTAAGCGTCCCTATTTCAGCTGCCTACAGGGTTCACACTTCTTCCTGTCAAATAATGAACCTCTCATACACAACACAACCAGTTTGGCCTCTTCCTTTTTTGAGAGTGAGCCCCATTTTGGATCTCCGACATTAGGTCACAGGAAGTGGTTATAACCCGATGGCCTATCTTTGACCTGCATCCGCCTTAAAGAACTTTAGAGATGGAAAGGATGAGAAGGAGAAGCGTGGCGAGGTGTCAGGGCACCGAACTCACGCCCTGACCCTCTTACTCCCTCCGAGTACTCCTCTTCCCCCGACCCTTGAACTCCAAACCCATGGCACTGTGACCTCAGAGCGGCGTGTCACTGAACGTCCGGCTGGCCTGACAGGAACAGGATCTGGAACCACTCAATGTGCAAAGAGGCATCAGCAGAGACTAAAGCTAGCAAAGAAGAAAAGGAAAGTTGTTTATGTGAGGCGCGGATGTTTGGGTTTTCTGGAGTAGGAGGGAGAGACAGACCCTCTGTTCAGTGTAAGTGCTGCAGTTAATAGACCATCTTAAAACTGCACGCAGCTACCCGCTGTGTTCTGTAAGATGTTCACCTCTTAATATCTCCACCGAATGAGTGTAACTCTGCTTAAAATGGCCTGTCACTGTGATGAGAAACATGTAAGAGAAGAAGTCACTGGCCTGAGGTAGTTTTAACTTAGGAAGTATCAGACTTTTAAACACTTAGACGCTCATCCCCTCAGCATAAATTAATTCTTTATGGACCAGCATGGCCATGGGGGAGTTGCATAACGTCTTTTGAAATCCCACATGAGGAAACTTAACATAGCGCTGATTTTCTTCTTCTGATTGCTCCACTATTCTTCAGGTTTCTGACTCGGCAGTTTTTCAAGAAATGGAGTATTAGCTGCATTCTCCCTCTCAGGGGAACCGCTGCTGATAAATAAAATATGAGTTTACAGTAAAGCTCTAAAAACTCTACCTGAAGGATAAAAAACATGCTTGTGGAGACTGTAGTTTAGAGCTCCTTGTCCTCTGGGTTGCCCTTTCCTTAGGCTCGCTTGTGGGGAATTGTGAAAGTGTTCAAACCCCATCCCAAATACATACTTCAGCATATTCAATCTGAATATCTATCATATCTTTATGATAGATCAATGCATTTTGGTAAAAAGAAAAACACTCTAACTTACGCGGCATGGATTAAACTCTGCTTCCCCACCCAGCTTCCGTTAGATACCCTTAGATGCATGCATCTCAAAATACATTCTCAGACGAAGGTTTTTGATGAATATGTATTAAAGTGAAACAGTTGCATGTATTTTTGAGGTCTGGTATGTCTCTAAAGATGTTATTTTGGAGTAGAGACTGACATTTTTTCGGGAATCCCACGGGTCACGGGATTCCCGTTGGATTCCCGTGGGATTCCCGTGGGATGGGAGTCAGTGTTAGTAACGATCACGCGATTGGGACGGTACAGGATTAAACATTAACGGGAGCGGCAGCAAACCAATAGTAACTAAAAAAACTAGGATCGATGCCAAAAAATAAAATAAAATAGAAAAAAAATCCAGTACTGGGGCCGCCATTTTGTAGTTTTTTTTCCTTGAAGCCTACACTATAATGCGAGTCCAAAAAACTGCACGACCCAAAAACCAACAGTGCTTCCGCTCTGAGTTTTTCACCCACGCTCAAAAACAACAATGGAAGGACCAACAGTTAGTGGCGAACTCGATTTCAAAAAGTTTGAAAAAATGAAATCTTATTGATGACAACAAGAATGGGAGTGGTGCAAGAGCAGGAGTCATTCTGAATGGGAGCGGGATGGGAGTGGGAGTAATTTCACCAGGAGTGGGACGGGACAGGATTTAGATTTCTACTCTGGCCCGGGATCGGGACACATTTTTTTTCTGTGGGAGTGGGACGAGACAGGAGTGGAAATCCACTCTCTATTTTGGAGATTATAGACTGAAATATTTAGGAACCCCTGCTCTAGATTGAATCATGGTGTTAGCAGCATAATGCTGGTTTGAAGCTGGTCACAGCTTATGTGACGATATCGAGTGCTCTGTTCAGCGCATCTTCTCCTGTTCCATCTCTTTAACTGTGGCACCACTTATCTCCTTGTCCTCCTCCATTATCACCATGATTCCTCCTCTTTTTCTCCTTCCCAGCAGCTCCATCTCTAACATCCTCCTTCCAATGTGTCAAACTCTAGTAATCACAGTCCTGCAGCTTTTTTCTTTCTTTTTTGTTTTGTTGGGGCCCAGATCCCCAAAATTTGGTGAGTAGATGTCGAAATGATGAATAGGAAATGTTAGAAGTTGTGTGTTTAGAAATAAAACCCCTGAGTAAAAAAAGGTTTCTTTGTTTTCAGTTTGATGCTGGCATGCGTTCTTACCTGTTGCAGAGTATATTTGTGTTTGGTTGGCTCACCGGGCGCTCCCTGCTGTGCCCTCCTCCTCATCTTGGCGCCAGCTGTTAGCAGCTTGGCTCGGGCTCTCTCTCCTGGAGGCAGCGGTTTAAGGGTTTGACTGGGTCAACGTTTTTCACCTTTTTTTTTTTTCCACCCGACTCTCCAGAGAGCCGCTCGTAGCTTCTGAACACACACAGACAAGGTAGCTGGTATTGTTTGGCACAGGCGCTGTGAGTAACACCAACTAACTATCCTGCTCACGCACTGACATGACTCAAACTTTAAGGCACAAGGGAGTTAGATCCCCTCCAACAGCTTCTCGGAATAATGAGGCATCCTTGCCAAGGCACTCTAAGGTTAATTCAAATGAGCAAAGAAAAATAAGGACCGAAGTTTATAGGGTTGGATGGGTCCACAGTGGTCCTGATTATTTTTTTTAATACGTGCTTGTTTTCTGTCTAGGAGACGCACGAGCGGTGAAGGATGTGGGCAGAGCTCTGGTGCTGAACAGGCGGACCGTCATGCCTTACGCCATCTACAGCCGTAAACGTAAGGGGCCCAGCGACCAGGCAGAGGTGCAGCAATACGCCAGCCTGGTCGGTCAGGACTGCGCAGAAAGGATTTTACTCTATCGCTCCTGAACACGAAGCTTCGTACAACTGCCTCCTATTAACCTGCATACAAACTCATCGCCCAAAAATATCCCCTCTTTGTCTCTAAAAGTGCTCTGTGCGGCAGCCTCACTATGCGGACTTTAATTCATGCAACAAACATGCACCATCTATGTACCTGCATAGTAGGTGTACTGGTACCCAAATATGCATTGAGTTGCATCTCAATTAAACAAAACTTTGAAAAGCTAATTCCTTTCAGTAACTTTACAGTGATGATTTTCTCCAAAAGTGATTATTTCAGAGGTTTATTTCAACTAATTTTGATGATTATGGCCTACAGATGACTAAAATATAAATTAATTTAATTAGAACATTACTATTAGATAAAACAGGCTTTATTACAGAGGGTTTGTGTAAAAGTTTAAATGTATGAGTGGGATTTTTCAGATATGTGTTAGTAAGTTTGAAAAATGTTTCCGTTTCCAGATATGATCAGTGGTTTTTTATTATTTTCTTTATTCATATATTTGTTACCATAATCGATGGAAAACTTTAAATTAAAATAGGCTAAGAAATCGTAGCCCTGAGACCCACAGATTAATACTGGCTTATACAAAACAATAAATAATAGGAGGTGTTTTACTCAGGTGACCTGCTGTTCTTGAATTGAGCGTGATCTAATAGGGGTCCATCACCAAAACAAAGAATTTACTAAACCATCCTGAACAGTTTTAGGAGGAGAAGCAAAGATTTTGATACTAATCTTAACTTCTTTACCTGAGAAAATAAACATTGGAACATCCCTTTCACTTTGCTTGGGTCAGGATTTATAAAGTATAGAGATAATTCTCTCTGACTGCTGCACAAACATTAACACGGTTTAGACTTTTTATTCATAACTTTCCAGAATACTAAAACTTGCATTTAATTTAGAATTTAAAGGTTAAGGAATGCTGAATACAAACATACTATTCTACTAAAATTTATTTTTGTCCATGTATTTTACTATAGATGCCCTCATCACTTTATTGGGGCTCCTTTTCAATGAATTACGGCACCAGTGCAGCTTTGCGTGAAAGTGATTGGTCAGCTAAAGTGTGACAAAGCTCAGGTTGTTTTTCCATCAGCAATACCTCCTAATCTATAACTGTTGCTTGTGCACTTTTTTTCTACCGTACTTTTTTCGTTCAACTCGTTTAGTAACCACTTTTTGTTCCATAGAGTCAGAAATCAAATTTCTTTTTTGTTTTTTTTACAGTATTGTTCTTACGTTTGGCTGTAATCTTATAAAGGATTATATTTTGGGTTTCTATTTGCTATAAGCCATAATCATTCAAATTAATGAAATAACTGAAGTAAATGTCCTTTTCAGGGGTATAGTAGTTAACTGAAATGCACCATGTTTATTTTTCAAACATCCTTGTTGACTTGCTGCAGGGCACCATTCAACTGAATGTTATTTTCAGATGATAACCCATCAGCTTTTTGTTTTTTATATATATATATTTGAATTTATTACGTTTTTATGTCGCAAACCAGCATCAGGTCACAACTGTGACTGTAGTTTAACCTGATATCACTTTTTGATCTCATTGTTTCCTTTTTGGCATGTCTGTTTGGATGTGAACTGTTTGTTTTCTATGTTGGATTTAATTTGCTCACTTCAAAGGATAAACAAATTCAGTGCTTCTCATATAAAAAACACAGTAATGTTATGATTTAAATGCACATTTAAAAGTAAACCATATCATTGTTTTAATCTGCCCTTAATGTAGTCTTTTCATTTTTTGTTTGAACCAAATAAACAGTTTGCAAAGACGCCAATACAGCTCTGTGTTGATTTCAGTGATCGTTGACTTAGAGACTTGGACAACTTTTATTATCGTTGTGTATACACAGAGTGTATACAAAACGAAATTTCGTTTAGTAAAGCTTTCCAGAAAGTGAATGAACGTTTCCTTTCCATGAAGTGCAGCAGTGATCAAATGTAAACAGTGTGGAGAATGAAGAAGAAAAAAAAAAAAAACATGGTGCAAAAAAGGTGCAAATATGCAGTATTTTGGTGTTATCAGTGTGACATGATTTAGAGTTTTTTCAAAAGTTCCACGTTCTGATGGAATTGGGGAAAAAACTGTTGCAGAATCTGCTGGACCTGCATTGAATGCTGCAAAGCATCTTCCCAGACGCCAGCAGGAAGAACAGTCCATGGTGGGAGTGTGAGAGGTCATTGATGATGTTACGGGCTCAAGACACGCTGCGCTCGGATGAAATGTCATTTCTGGAGGGAAGAGCAGCCCTGATGATCCTCTCTGCTGTTTTTACTACTCTTCTCACTCTTTTCCAGTCTGAGGCGTTGCAGCCTCCACACCACACAGTGAGACAGCTGCTCAGAACACTCTCTAATGTACTTCTGTAGAAGGTGGTGAGGATGGGTGGGGGCAGGTATGCTCTTTTCATCCTCTGCTGGAAGTACAAGCGTTTATGTGCACTTTGGACTTGTGAGTTGGTGTTTACAGTCAAGGTGAGGTTGTCCGATGTGCTTCCCCAGGAATTTGGTATTACTGACCACCTCTACTCCAGTGAAGATCTTTTTGGTTTCAAATAATAAAAATATGCTGTCTAGCTGTCCTTTTTATCAAATGTTGGGATTCCTTCACATAGAAGCACATTTCTTGATCTCTAAAACCAAAACTTATTGAGGTAGACTAACTAAACCACATGAGATGAAATAGTCTGGAGTCACTGTATTGGTTTTTCGTGTTGATTTATTACATTAAAAAAAAATCTAAGACACATTAAGCTTGTGTCTGTAAGGTGAGAAAATGTAAAAATGTTAAACTTTGATTAAAATCCTCTCGAGTTTAGCCATGTAAGCACCCTCGTGTCAGCTTGACCCCGTGCAGCAGCTCAGCACCGTGGTGAAGCCTGACCCGCCTGTCTTCACCTGAGTTCATGAAAACAGTGCGTCGAGTCAGTCCTTCCAGTTTGAAGGCGGCCTGAGTTTGAGAGCAGCCCATGTCCAGAGGAATTACTGCGGATTGACAGGCTAATTCTCCAGGACGGCAATGCTGACGCTGGCTGGAAGCCGTGTTGGATGCACTCTCTCTCTCTCACATTAGGCATGCTTCCACTCAGACGTAATGTACGCACACACACGCACGCATACACACTCCTGGCACCGTCAAGAGCACTTTAAATTCTGGTGGAGGGCAGGATCCAGTGCTGTGGTGGGGCTCTCTCTGTGAAAACAAGTGGTTCAGACCAGGCATGGATTTTATAATGAGGCCTTAATGCCTCAAGAAATATACTTGTGTCACAGTTTATAATTCCTATGAAGATTGAGGACAATCTCCTGTTGAAACAGTTTATATAAAAAGCTATATCTACATTTACGTTTCACGTTTAGAAACATGACAAAAGGTTAATTGTCCAAAAATGAATGTACTTTGAGAAGCTTGGGGGGAAAAAAATACATACTCTAATACCTATGGACACCTCCACTACTGTAGTATTTGCTTAGAAAGTTGCACCTAAAATACATCGTAGCAATGACTAAGCTCTAAGATGAATTCAAATCGTTTAGTTGGTGGTGTGCACCTAGTTTTTCAGGCATAGTCGATTGACTTTAGTCAGGTTGAGGTCAGGTCTCCTTCAGAAAACTACTTACTTTATTTAATGTATATGTTCTGTTGCAACATCTAACTGCCAGTGAAGGAGACCCTCAACATGGTGTTGCCACCAACTTGCTTTACAGCGTGTCGGGGTTGAAAGCCTCACCTTGAAACCTTTAACAAATTTTTATACTGTCTGTTTCCTATTCTCCCCCAGGGGGAGTGGCCCCTAGACCTGCGAGGATGGTGAATGTATGAAGAGGGTAAGAATATGTTTAGTCTCTGCTCCTGTATGTGTCTCCGTTAAACGCTTGTAAGTGTCGGTACGGCTAGGATTGTGTGAATATCCTATGAGCGGGGCCTGTCTCCTCTCCCTTCTAATGCTCCCAGCCAAACTGCACTTATTGCAATTTTATTGCAATAAGTGCCTTTTTCTTGAATTGAGGAGGTAATTGAGAAACTTTGCCAATGAAACTAGACAATTTACATTTAAAATAAGAAAACACAATTACATTGTCTTATTTCAAGTGCATATTATTTAATTATCTTATTTTTAGACGAAAATTACTCATTCCATTGGCAAATCATCGTATTTACCTACTCAAATTAATGGTAAATACACTTAATTTAAGAATTTTTTTGTCATTTTTAGATGGTTTTTGCAGTGCAGTGAGTGGTTCCTGTGTCTGCTGGTGGTGCGCTTGGTGCAGGATTGGGTACTTTGGTTGGAACTGTCTCATTCCTGGCGGCTGCTGGGCCTCCTGCCCCTGCAGTGTGTGCCCGGGCCTTGAACCACTGGGCTCTTATCCGAGTCCAACTTTGTTGTGACTTGCCGCCGGCGGAGCTCTGGAGTTCGCTTCAGTGGCCCTGTGAGACATCAGTTCAATTTTCCTCTGGGATCCTGGCCTTTTGGAATTTGGCCCCTCCAATTTCGGGCCCCATTTTCTGCCCTTTATTTGTTTGGTGCGGCCATCTTTATTTTATCCCCTTCTTTTGTCCAGGTCATCTGGGGTACCTTTGGATATCTCGAGCTCTTGTCACCCATTATCAATCCTGGGACCTCTAGTGCGATCCTAGGGACGCCCACACCTATTGAACATATTTTCCTTCTGAGGAAGCCTTGTTACGCCATATACATGCATGCTCATGCATACATACCACAGGAGTTTGGTACACACTAATACTAAATAGGAAGCTGCAGCTACAGATATAAACATCCCTGAATAATTTTGTGTAATCACCACCATGCTGAGAGACACAGCAAACCTTCTTGCCACAGCTCACATTGATGTTCCATCCTGGATGAGCTGCACAACCTGAGCCAGTTGTGTGGGTTTTACAGTCTGTCTCATGCTACCATGAGTGTTAAAGCACACAAAAAAAAATTTGAAATTGAACAATAAATCTACTTGTAGAATCACTCCTTTATTCAGTGTGTCTTGCTAATTGCCAATAATTTCCACCTGTTGTCTATTCCATTTGCACATCAGCATATAAATTGATCACTTGTCAGTGTTGCTTCCTAAGTGGACAATTTGAGATCACAGAAGTTTGATTTGATTGCTGTTATATTGAGTTGTTTGCATATTTATTTTTTTGAACAGTGTATATTGGCAAAACAGGACACAAGAAAAAAGTTAGGCATTTGCTTCAAAATAAATTGGTTTAGTCATGTTTCTTTGTGCCAAGTAGAGTGGTCAAACATGCAATCTGATTTATGCCTGAGGTTTTAGTTATGGTTACGCTTATCTAAATAAATTGAACTTCATTGATCTTGCAATGGAGAAATCAACTCTGCATTTAACCCATTCCCTTCAACAGCAATCGGGGTTTATTGGTCTTGCTCAGAAAGCCAGAGTGGCACTCTGTGGGAGTGGGTTTCGAACTCACAACCTCAGGAATCCAAATAAGAACTGAAAGACGTAGAAGCGGAAAAATAGTGAGGGAGATATGAAGTAGTGAACTTTCTTGCTTCTCCTTCTGCTTACTCTAACTGATGTTTTGTGGCTTTTAAAAATGTTGCATAATAGATTCAGGACAGAAGTTTTGACAGCTTGAAAAAAAAAAAAAAAAAAACAAGCCTGGAATGAAAGACGAGAAGCCTCCAAGTTTGAGGTTTTCCCCCATTATTCCAAACTCGCCAGTGGAAATAATGAAGTAAGTCTAAAAAGAATCTCTCCACTGTTTAGATAAATCTAACAGCAACATCGAAAGGCGTCTTTGCTGCATATCAATCAGAACACAGAGCGTTTGTTCGGTTCGCCTCTGTGCTCCATCAGATTTTCTTATTTTAATCAGTTTGCATATGATAGGAGCATTGATGCTGTTAACTTTCAGGGTAGCTGTTATCCACCAGCATGCACTCAGATCACATCAGTCACAGGTATGTGTAAACCTGGGCTCCATCTGAAGGGGCCATCATGTGACGCCATCTTCCTGTTTGTAAAATGTGAAACTTTATGTAGGCAGCAAGTTCTTTGATCCCTATCCTATCTTTTTTTTTCTTTCTTTTTCTGGACCTCAACAAGCAAATCTGCACGCGCTGCACGCAAGCCTTTCTTTTTTATACCAGAGGGCAGAATATAAACACTCCCTCAGCCTACAGCTAGTACTACAGCTGTATGTTTCTATGTGTGTGGAGTATTTACTCTATCATGCTACTTGTTTGGACTGGCATCCTGCAACTACAGTGCAAATTTGTGTGTTTTGTTTGTTTCCTTGGATTTTCCATCATGCCCACTCCTCTGCCCCTGGTTGTGTTCATACATTACATCCGCTGATTGTTCGTTGGTAATGCAGATGTGTAATATAGGCTGTTTGTACTGGCACCCACGCAAGCGGAAGCTCCCCGGCTAGAGGAAATGCTGGGCTCCATTTGTGCACTAGGGCCCCCCCCACCCCCTGGATTAAGCGTATCACACACTAAATGCAGGCCTTTTCTTTTGGGGATTATCCAAACGCAGTGGTGGGAGGGGGTGCCTCCTCTAGCTCCCACTGGGGCCCTGTCACCCAAATTCAACACACTGTCACCGCTGCGGCCCCTGGCCCCCTTACCAGGATGCAGGGCATGAGAGCAGACATTGTGCCCCAAGAGACAGAGCTAAAGTGATTAGCTTGTGTTATTAAAGGACCATAGAAAATTCAGTTTGACACGGGGCTTCAACCTGATCCAACTCGAAGCCTGACATGGTGGAGATACATTGGTGT